GACTAGTTCAAGGAGTTTAATTTCCATTCAACATCTAATCTTTGTGTTTACTGAAACCCTTCCCGGGCTTTGTTTACTGTCTGCACGCTGGCCTGGACGTTTGATCTTGCAAGACTAGATCAGACAGGGTCAGATAAAATACTGATTACTAGAATAAACCAGGCTTGGGGAAGGAACGCTGATTTTTAACATCCCCGCTTCTCCCAGCTTTTTAATATTTCGCAAAATAAACTCAAGTAAACAAATAAAATTAAGACAACCAGCAATCAGGGGCTTCTTGAGCAATGACTGGGAAGAAGAAAGTGATGGGGGTAATTTTGCTTTTTGAACAAACTACGGGGTTTGGTTAGGTCCATGCATTCTAGTGGTATTATTTTATGACACAAATAATTTCATGATATGCACCAGTATCCATGTGAACTTGCGATGACCCCTGAATCCTGTGACATATTAAATACTGGAGCTCGGCCTCACCAAAGACAACAGTTCACTTGGCATTTGCTGCCAGGTGCAAAACACTTGAGAAATAAAATTGTTTTTTACCTTGTTAATTTTTAATTGGGAAATATTTAAAATACAAGAGCCCTTCCTTATTGTCACTATCTTATTCTTATAAAATCCCCTGAACAAGCAGACTGCCATCCGAGTATCATTGCTAATGGAATGGCCCTCAAATTCCACTCTGTTTCATAAAAATGGTGGGGAAAGTTTTTGCCTAAAAGTAAGTAACACAAAAGAAGAATTGGGTTAAATATAAGTTTTGTATTAAAATGCCGAAACCAGTTTGGCTCAGTAGATAGAGAGTCAGCCTGCGGACTGAGGGGTCCCAGGTTCGATTCGGTCAAGGGCATGTATCTTGGTTGCGGGCACATCCCCAGTGGGAGGTGTGCAGGAGGCAGCTGATCGGTGGTGATTCTCTCTCATCGATGTTTCTAACTCTCTGTCCCTCTCTCTTCCTCTCTGTAAAAAAACAATAAAATATATTTAAATTAAAAAAGTGTATAAAACAGCCCTAGCTGGTTTGGCTCAGTGGATACAGCATTAGCCTGAGGACTGAAGGGTCCTGGGTTCGATTCCGGTCAAGGGATCAGTTGTAGGCTCAATCCCCAGCCCTTGCCAGGGCTCACGTGGAAGGCAACCCATCGATGTGTCTCCTTTCGATGTTTCTCTGTCTCTCCCCCTCCATTTCACTCTCTCTAAAAATCAAAGGAAAAATATCCTCAGGTGAGGATTAACCAAAACACAAAATAAAATGTACAGAACATATGAAAGGAAAATTGACAGTGTAAATCCTACATAATCCCAAGAATTCTTGAAAATGATGTGATAGCGTGAACATCTTTAGGTCCCTGTGGACTATCCTTGTATCCAACACGGAAGCTCCTCCACTGTTAACATTGCCCCTTCTTGTTCTTTTACACCACACGCATACTTCCTTGCTACTCTATGTTGTAAACATGTAGGCCAGAAGCAATCATAGTATGCGGTGAACAGCAATTTAAAAAAATGCCGTCTAAACCAACCTCTTACCCGCTTCATCTTCTTGTGGGATGTAGGCTCATGGTTCTGGACCTTAAAACCAGAGCATACACACTGTCTCCCCATCCACCGTGAATTAACACTAATGTTAACTCAAATATGTCTGTGTCAACCATGATTGTCTTTGAAATTAAAGGGAAAAGGTAAACAGAATGTGCTCTGCTGTGATCTCTGGGGAAAATGAAGTTAACAGGCTAAACCAAACCAACTTAGGCCTTTTTAAAAAAATAAGTGTAAATAGTTTAGCTTTAAGAACAACAAATTCAAAAAATGCACATTAAAATGTTTACTTCAAATTTTAGACAATTCCATTTGTATATAGTTTTTACATCTGTTTTTAATGATATCAAGTTATTGATTGTTCATTTTTCTCATATTTATTTAAGCATTAACTATAGAATTTGCAATCTGATCTCTCTTTTTTTTTTAAATCCTTCCAGTAGACTTTTATTTTTGCCAGGTTCTAGTCATATTTACTTTGATCTTTCCGAGTATATAATTATTTTACTGTTTATTTATTTCTGTGAGATGAGGAAAAAAATTCTGACCTAGGAGATCTATTATATATGTGGCAATTTGTAACAGAATCACATAGCTTATGTTTAGGAAATCATGGTTTTGATTAAGAAGCAACCATTTAGTTCCCACTGTTTTATTAAAACAGACATTAGCAGATAATAGGAAACATATTTGACAATGCAGCAGGCCTTCAGTCTGGGACATCAGTGAGTTAGCGTGAGATTTCCTTCCATGCTGACTATCAGCCATGGGACACGTAACTAGGTAACTGTGGGCTGACAGTGGAGGGGCGAGGCAGGGGGAGGGTGCGGTGAGGAAGTCCAGGAGGAGGTAGAACTGACTTCTCAGCTCGCAGGAGGGGCCCTGAGATAGAATTCTGGGTTTGCTACTATTCATTTCCATTTATATTTATATTTATATTTATATTTATATTTATATTTATATAGTCATTTTGAAAATAGATGGACACAAACAGAACTTGTACAAACAAACATCATTACTTTCTCGTGAGAACTGAAGTCAATGAGAGAGGATCCCCCACAGCAACATCTATTGGGAGCACAGAGCTTCCAGCCAAGGAACTAGCCTGTGCTTTCCTCTGGGGTCGAGAGTTAATAAAACATCTTTTCAGGGTGTTGGTGTTCTGCGCACCCTCCTACCTGCTGGGAACGCTTTGTTTTCCCTCCCACCCCCGGGCTGATGCACCAGCACCACTTGAACTGTTTTACGACAGCTGGTGTTTACTTCACACATACCTGAACCTTCCCCATTCCCCTCCCACTGCACACACACACACACACACTCTCCGCAGGAATGACTAGCTCCTCTCTCTGCAGGACGTGTGTACACAGTGTCTGGCAGCCTCTTCAGGTATGTGGATCCTTGACCTCCGGATTGAAATCAAGGTCTTAGTCTGCTTTTACGGCACTTAAAAAATTTAACTGTGCATTTACTATCTTGAAAACACACACACACACACACACACACACACAAAACCTGGATTTCTAAGGACAGAAAAGAGAGAAGTAGAAGCCGTAAGTGTTAGGGTGTGTGTGCACAGATTCGCACTGACACACGCACTCCACAGTGGCCACTCTGAAGCACTACACTGAAGGGTTTCCAGTGTCTGAGTCTGCGATTACTCTCCGGACGACGAAAGGAGGACATGCTCGCTCTTCCTTTCTCTCATAACAGCGAGCAAATGCGATTTCACGAGTGACCTTGGAGCTGCGTGATTCTTTTGATGTTTAACCGAGGAGGGTATGTTCAAGCGCCTGAACCATCTTATGCCCAAAGAAAAACTTGGAGGTGGCACTTACAGAAAAGAAACCCTTCTGAGCCACACAATCATGCCCTGGGGCGAGGAGCTGTTCACTGTACAAGAGCTAATACTAATAATATTCTAAAGCAAGTGCCCAAGCCAGAATCTAGAGGGTCCTAAGAATTTGAGAATACGTTGAAAAGAAAGAGATCTGAACTCATCGTCAGTGGATTTCATTGCTTTTGGGAGTTCAACATTTTGACATTTTTATGAGGTTGTGCATTTGGCATAAAATGCTCTCATTCCTTGGTCATCGGAAATGGGCCACCAAGGCACATGAAGTTCACGTCCTCCAAAGGCAGCCTTGTGAACTGACTCCCAGTCAGTCAGCAACCAGCAAGTGCCCCTGCCACACTCTGAACCCCAAGAGGAACCTGCTTTGGTAAAACAACTAAACCCATCCTTCACTGCTACCCACTCCCCAGCAGCCATGCCATTGGCCCTCGGTGGGGCAGTGGATTGACAATAAGGCTATGGAACCTACAATGGAACGTGATGGATGATACCATAATTATGCAAAATATGGACTGAGATAGCTGCAAACATCAACCTGTTATGTTACCAAAAATTCCCCAAGTGCCCTCCAGGGCCAGCAGCCTTTGAATTGAACAGCATTTGAACTGGGGTGAGAACAACGTAATTTTTCCAACACCGACATATGTGCAAAGGCCAAATATCACAAATAGATTTAAAGGACTGGGTAACTAGCCAGCAACGTAGATACTTTCATCATTGTGACGTTCAGATAAGGAAACTGAGTCTTGGTGAAGTAAAAAAAATGTGTTGGAGCTCACACAGCTGGCAAATGGAAGATAATGATTTGAACGCAAGTCCCTTTGCTTAAACAGTGGCTATGGAATTGTCTCCAAATACACACAACAGCAAAATCCCATTTTTGACCCCAAGATTCCTGGGACCACAACAATCCTTCTAACATGTGATTGCTACTTAAACTACAAGTGCTGATTCAACCTAGAATGGCTGCTTTTAAACTTCTAGTACTATATAAATGGAAATGACTCATTGATTAGCTTTTAAATAAGCATGCCTATGTGAAATAAACCATTTCAAAATATTTTGAAAGATCTCAATCTTCACAAGCATCTCTTATGAAAACTATAAACTCCATATATTATGCTAAGAATTTTACTTTTAGCCCTACTGTTTTTGGCTCAGTGGATAGACCACTGGCCTGTGAACTGAAGGGTCCTGAGTTTGATTCTGGTCAAGGGCATATACCTCCTCAGTTGCAGGCCCTCAATGGGGGTGCATATGGGAGAAAACCAATGGATGTGTCTCTCTCACATCAGTGTTTCTCTCTGTCTCTCCCCCTCCCTTCCACTGTGTCAAACAACCAATGAAAACAAAAAGATATCCTTGGGTGAGAATTAACAAAACAGTACAACAACAAAAAAAGAATTTTACTTTTAGTTTTAATACCATCTTAGTTTTAAGAAAGTCAATTTGGATCTCTTGATGGAAGTATTAAGAATATTGCCTTATTAAAAATTATATAAAATGTGAGTTTAAAAGTATTCCTAAAATTAGCATAAATTCCAAAGAAGCAACAACTCATTAGCCTAAGAAACTGAAAACAGGGCTTCAAAAATAAAAGGTTTACCTTTAATCTTCTTGTACTTCTTATACCATCGCCCAAACTCCTGGCACTTGGTTGCTGACACATTGGCATAATATGTGCTATTTACAATGGATGAAATCATACTCTGCAAAGAAAAAAAAACACAGTTATTTTTCATAAATGTGAATACTCCTCCCTTTTAGGGACAAGAAAGGGCACACTATGGCACACACCAATCTCCTTTGTCTTTTAAATTGGAAGGACTCACCCTTCTGCAAACACTATTAAACACTAAATATGATTCTCTAGCCCTAGCTGGTTTGGCTCAGTGGATAGAGTGTTGGCCTGCGGACTGAAGGGTCCCAGGTTCGATTCTGTCAAGGGCACATGTCAGGGTTGTGGAATCGATCCCCAATAGGGGGTGTGCAGGAGGCAGCCAATCAATGATTCTCTCTCATCATTAATGTTTCTCTCTCTCTCTCTCTCTCTCTCTCTCTCTCTCTCTCTCTCTCTCTCTCTCTCTCTCTCTCTCTCTCCCTTCCTCTCTAAAATTAATAAAAATATATTAACCAAAAAAAAAGGTGTGATTACCTAAATTTACTATCCCTTTAACTAATGCTTGTCAAAGTGTAAGGGGCAGTGTCAAAGACGGAGGGCAGGCCAGGCATGGCGGGAGCCCAGGGAGAGAGCAGCTGGGATGTAGGAGCCAGAGCGCCAGGTGAGCCCCTAAGCCTCCGTCACCCGACAACGCCTTCCAGAGGCGCCTGTTCCCTCTCCGGCGGCAGCGATCACACGGAGCCAAGAGCCAGGGAACATCCGTGCTGCCCGCTGCAGAACAACGTTTAGGGAAATAAGTTAAATTAATATGATTTATAGAAACGTGTGATTAGCACTGGTGTGAAAATTCACCCGATGAAAAAATTAGCAGTGCTATTTTGGAGCCAGGGAAGCTCAGCCTAACACTTGTGCTAGGTTTCAACCAAAAATGAATCCAAGCTAAGCCTTCCTGAGTGCCTCCCCTTCCTCCTCTGTGACTGTGGCAGCAAGAGAAGGGGGACATAACCTATCTCCCACCGGACAATTAAAGTGATGATCACACACCCTGAATTCTCCACAGCTGTGTTTCCAGGCAATAGACCATGTCTGGCCAGAGTTGGTGGCAAATGTTAACTTACATGTCAGTGAGTGTGATAGGACATGTGTATGTTTTATAAATCGGTTTTATTGCTGCAAATTCTGTCTAAAAACAAGTGGACATAAACAATTTCAGGTTATCTGAAGGTTTTCTATTCCACCCTGGGCTCATCTTTCTCTAAATCAGGGACCCCAGATACAAAGCAGCTGAGTGAAACTTTAGGGCATCTCATGGCATTTCTACAGAGTGGCTGTGCTTAAAAGGAGGGTGGTACACCCAGGTGATGGCACGTTCTTCGCCAGGAGGATCCAGTGCCAGCAGCAGGCCTGCAGGACAGCCTTCTGGAAACGACGCCCTCTGTGAGCCCACCTTCCACTGGGTGTGCAGCCCTGGTGGGGGAGGGGCCTTAATTCAATTCCCAGAAACCCCTGTTTCTGCAGAGCAGATGGCCATCCTCCCCTGGTTGCTGATCTCTAAATGACAGCTCTGCTCTCCAAGGGGAAATAACGAGCAGGACTCTCAGTCTCAGGATCTGAGCACAGCCCTCGGAGCACCAAGGGCCAGGAGCACCTGAGTGGGTTGCGGAACTTTCGGCCTTGCCCGCTGCCCTGGAGGATCCCTGGGACCCAAATCTTCCAGAGGGGTGTCTGCTGTGTGTACTATTAACAAAGGGGAAAGGAGTGTATCCTAGCTGGGCCGGTGCCCTCTGGCTGAGCTGCTCTCTCTGTCCCGGTCTGAGATACCCAGACCTGGGATGAAGTGACTGTGTCGGTTTCAATTTTCTCTTCCTCCCTCCTGTCTACCACAGAGCTGATGCGGGATGGCTGAGTCACTGGGATATAACAGATGAAAAGGGGCAGCGATGGAATTTTAAAATGCCAAAGTGAAATGTCATAATAACGAACGATTTAACGTGAAGGCCGCCTCATAGCAGAGGCACCCGCCACCCTGCTGGCTGTGGACGGTCGTCTCTGGAGGCTGTCTTCAGGGATGCTATCCCCACCCCCAAAGGCTACCAGCCACGCAGAAGTCGGTGCTAAGCCTCCCACTGCAAAGGGAGTTAACATCCAGAGCAAAGCAGAGCTCAGAGGGCCAGCGCCAGTCTCCCAGAAAACGCCTTTCAGATGGCTGCTCCCTTTCCAGCTGCAACAGCAAGACTGAGGTGGAGAGGAGCACAGGCCCTGCTCGGACCTCACCTCCTCCGCCCTAAGATGGGCCACAACCCCGATCACCCGGCCCCACACCGTCCACATGTCCACATGTTCCCGCCTTCATGCTCTACCTTTGCTCCACAGGCACCTTCCCTGACTCAGCCCAACGCCAGTGTGGACCCAGATGGCGAGGAGATGGACACCCGGGTTTCTATGGCTCTGTCACCAGGTCCTACGCTGGAAGCACATTCATTCTCAATCAAAAAGGAGGTGACTACCGAGACTCAACCAGATCTGCTCTCTTCCCCAGAGAATGATACATGGGTTTTCATTTTCACTGATCACAGAACAAAAAATAAACAGAGTGGCCGAAACCGGTTTGGCTCAGTGGTAGAGCATCGGTCTGCGGACTGAAAGGTCCCAGGTTCGATTCTGGTCAGGGGCATGTATGTTGGTTGAGGGCACACCCCCATGGGGGGTGTGCAGGAGGCGGCTGGTCGATGTTTCTCTCTCATTGACATTTCTGGCTCTCTATCTCTCTCCCTTTCTCTCTGTAAAAAATCAATAAAATATATTTAAAAAATAAAAAATAAACAGGGTGAAGCTGTGAACAGAGCAAAGGAACTATGAGTGGTAAAAAAAAAAGAGAGAGAGAGAGAGAGAGAGAGAGAGAGAGAGAGAGAGAGAGAGAGGGAGGGAGCTTCCTAGCTAATGGGAATATTTAGTCGCTTGAAAGATCTCTTCCAATGTGTGGCAAATTTTATTTCTACTAATTCTCTACAGGTCTTTACACATAGTTGACACTCAGAGACGTTTTACTGATATAAGTTTGTATAATTCCCTGGAGAGCTTTCAAGACAGAAGAGGTACATTCTGGGGATGTTTTAGATACAAGGACATGTTATGCCTTATTCTGTTTCAAACATGAACATGCCCTAACCCTACATTACACTGTTATATTCTCATAGCCCAGGTCTGAATTACTAGTTCTCACTAAAATATTCTGGACACATACTACAAGGTCAACGTGAGGTTAATGTCAACTTTTAAAAAAATAATCAAAACTTAACTCCTTATAAACAACACTGCAGGGGGCCGACGCAGACACTGCACAGGCGGCCTTTCAAGGAAGCCTGTTCTCTGAGGGCCCGGCCCTTGAACCTGGGTTTGCCCATCTCACCATTCTCCAGCCACATGCCTTAAACACGTAATGCCCCTGAAACCAGGCGCATCTCACCGTCAGCAGCATGTTAGACCTGATGAGATGCAGTTGCTGCAGAATGGAATGAGTAATGAATAAAATCTCTCCCACCTACTTCCCTGCCAAAAAGATCTAATTTCCATTTACTGCTTTTTCGGAGACGTATATAATTCTGCAGTTTGCGTTGCTCTTTTATGTTTCCCAGTCGTTCTCAGAGCAACCACAGAACTTTGAGGATCCCCACTCCTTCCCGATCAATGAACAGGATCTCTTCCAATCCAGAATGCAACCAAACCCTGAGTGTCTGTGTCCACATAACGCAATGGTGATACAAGTTGAAAAGATAAGTGTGACGTTCTGTGTTGGCTAAACAAAGGGCTGTGCTTTAGGAAGGGTTATATTAAAGTGACTTGGCATATACTGAGCTCATTTCTTCTTTTTTGAAAAATATATTTTTATTGATTTCAGAGAGAAAGGGAAATGGAGACAGAGAGAGAAACATCAATGATGGGACAGAATCATTGATTGGCTTCCTCCTGCACATCCCACAAGCCAAGCATGAGCCCTTGACCGGAATCAAACCTGAGACCCTTCAGTCCGCAGGCCAACGCTCTTCCCACTGAGCCAAACTGGCTGGGGCTGAGCTCATTTCGTGATGCATGGTGCAGGTGAAAAGAAAGAATGGGGAGGACACACGTACAATGGGAAGTCAAAGCAGCCCTTTCAGGCACTTGGTCACAGACATAAACATCACATGGACTCTGATCCACCACAGCTATTTTATGGGAAAATATTATGTGTTAAAATAAGTAGGAAGGCTTAACATGTCCTGCCAACTACAAAAATGTTCTGGATGTTCCAGACCTCTTTGTAATTAATAGTGAGATTATAAATATGGAGACTGTGGATGGGGCATATAATCAAAGTGTCCTCATTTGCAGTCACTCTGACACATCATTTGCCACTAGTATTTGCAAGTTTTGGGTTTTTGTTTTTATTTTTTTTAATAAAAGGAGGTATTTGAGAATTTGAAATATACCAGAATTAGCTACTCCAAAGTTTACTAGCTCATTTGAATTTGCACTATGCCAAATTGCAAAAGCATATAATAATACCGCTAATAGTACTTATAAGAGCTAAGTAGATGGCCTTATCTAAAAAGAAATTTTGTTGTAGGTTCCTCAGACAAATGTTAACCACATCCGTGTGCTTTTTCACTAGCCGGGGAACAGATGTCACCTGTGCTTAGAACTAAGGTTCTAATTTTCAAATTGAGGGCACGAAGCTCAGAATGTAGCATCTTCTCCAAAATCAAAAAGCAATGGGGAGCCCCACAAAGAGACACCACTACCAGGCCCCACTGTATCATGGGTCTCTTAAAAAGGGAAGCTAATCAATGAAGGAAGGACAGATTCCACAACACCTCCATCTGCTAGCACACACTCAACACTGGACACTGAAATCAATTCTTCAGACAAAGTAAGAAACAGGTGTTAGAACGTAAAACAACGGTGTGACTCAGGCCCCTTCTATGAGCGGATTCAGTTTAGACTCAGAGAAAACTAGAGATTCAAACTTAAAAGGAAAAGCAAAACAATAGTCATGCATTAAGATGATCTGTACAAGACACTTAGAAAGATCGAGTTCCCCTCTCCCTCTCCCAAAAGAGGAAGATACTAGAATCATCTATTCTTCACTGCCTTCCCCTTGGCTCGATAAGATTTGTTTGAACAGGAACATTATAATAAGAGTAGCCAATCTGCAGACACATAATACAGTTGCTCTAAAAAAGAACATTTTAAAAGCAAAGTGGATGGTTAGACATTCGGCCAGGGCAAATGCCCTGTTTAGCAAGAAGAGTGGCAGAATAAGGGAGAAGCCAGCATCTCCGGCCTCTTTGCCCACCTAACCTGCAGGACAAAGCACGATGCAGGCAAATAATAATACATGCATTCATTGCTCATTTTCGGCTTCTTCATGCTGCTCTGTGATATGCTAAATAACATACTGAACACCTATAATAATAAAAGTATAATATGCTAATTAGACTGGACAGCCGAATGACCTTCTGGACATCATTCCGGAAGAAGCCACAGCGGTGGGGGTGAAGATAGAGGCAGTTAGGGATGATCAGGCAAGCAGGCGAGCAGTTAAGAGCCATTAGGCAGGCAGGCGAATGGTTGGGGCAATTAGGCAGGCAGGTGAGTAGTTAGGAACTAGTGGTCCCAGATTGCGAGAGGGTGTAGGCCAGGCTGAGGGACCCCCTCCCCCAATCCACGAATATTATGCACCAGGCCTCTAGTGAGATTATAAGGATACTTCAATGAAGTACGGTAAAGAAAAAAAAAACCTGATGTGGAGGAATTACTTGGTCATGAAAAATTCATTTGATGTCATTCGGCAGCCTCCCACCATCGCTTCCCAGCCCTTTCTGAGCTATGTGATCCGAGTGGAAAACTGTTACCATCCGCACTAAAAGAACCACTTCCTCTGGGCTTTGGGGTGTAAGAAGCCTCCACGTGAGAGCTTCCCTCCAAAGAAATAACCATGGAGAGGCTTGCTTATCGGATGGCGGCCCCTCCTCGGAGGACCTGGGGTGTGAACACCTGCCTCGGATGGGTGTAAGGATTGGGGGAGATGATGCGTGGAAGAGTGCTAACACAAGATGTGGGGTCAATGGACGTCGGCTCTCTCCCCTCCATGCAATCACTTCACATGGCCACCTCAATCACCCACTCAGCTGTCAGAGCCTCCGTCAACATGAGTTCATGAGGTTGGTCCTCAAACTAAAACAGCTTTGCATGAAAATAACAACTGAAAGCTGGTTACCTCAAGACAAGGTGCATCCTCACTTCATACACAATTTGAAATTCAATGAAATAGACAATTGGCAACTGGTTCGCACAAGACTGGCCCAGCAGTTATGACCTGCTCGTCTGCAGATGAGACATGATCCACTGGTTTTCTTCTCCTGACCCAATGGGCTGCCTGACTTCACCACCCGATTATGTTGGCATATGGCACATTTAAGTTAGTCCTTTCATGATCCCCAAATGGACCATGCTTGCTGGGGGTAACAGAAATGATTATCTTATAGCCTATTTCTAAAGAAGACCAGCAATGCTATTCCACCATCACACTGGAAATCCAGTCACGTGTCCCCAGCTCAGTGACTTCAGTCAGTCATTTTGTTCCACAAATACTTGACAGTAAAACCTCAACTAGGGATATGGGACAGAGCTTTGAAAACATATCTACATGCTTGAAATAAGCCAACACAAAAGGACAATTATTCTATGATCTTACTTTGATGAGGTGCCAAAACAAGCACATTCACGGAAGAGGGGCACAAGGGACTGTGGAGGAGAGGGCATGGGGAATTATAACTTCATGGACACAGACTTTCTCTTTGGGATGATGGAAAGTGTGGCAATAGATGAGGGGAATGGTGGCACTACACCATGAATGTAATTAATGACACTGAATTGTAAAGTTAAAAATGGTGTAAAAGATAAGCTTCATGTTATATGTATTTTACCACCAAATATATATATATATATATATATATATATATATATATATATATATATATATATGTATGTATGTATATATATATATATATATATATATATATATATAACTCAAAGCATATCTAGAGTCACAGAGAGAATGGTTAGGTGGGGCTTTTTTTCCCAATGCATTTCTACCTGGCGAATTCACTATGAAATCCCTACAAATGTGCATGATGCAAAGACCACCTCTCTCTCTCTCTCTCTACTAGACAGGGGAAGGGCTCCATAAATAAAATAAAGATGGATCTGGCATGATTGACTCATTCCATTCACCAACCTGTGCAATGATTTCAAGAGCAGGTAGAGTGCTAGTGCGCCACCCTTTCTGTCTAGCTGCTACTACTCCAATGCATGCCTCCCTGGTATTTTGGGAGCAAAAGCATGAACAGTATGATTTGTCTCAGAGGGTCTAAATACTTAAGTACACCCCAAGACACATAAAAATTGTCCACACCAACAATACGATGTCTCCATCCTAACAGCTGGGACTGTTCCGAGAACATCTTGGCACACCAGGTCACAGGCCAAATCCCACATTTATGGAATTTATCTCCCTCCCTCCTCAGTCCATGACTTAGAACTACCATGTTTCCCCGAAAATAAGACATCCTCCGAAAATAAGACCTACTTACAGGTTTCCTTCTGAGTGAAATATAAGGCACCCCCCGAAAATAAGGCCCCCCTACGCTCTGTCTCAGAATGCTATTGCTAAACATGAGAGATTTGGTCCACTGATTCTGAAAGAAATGGAGTCACAAGAAATTCACCAGGAAATTCAGGAATTGGATTGTTATGATGATGTTCCAGATGATGACATGATTGTCATTGAATAAATGAGTAAATTCTTGATACTGTAGGATTCGCAGTTTGTCTGGTTTGTGTTGACAACTACCGTACTACCATACCGTATACAGGTAATAAATTTCCTTTCTTTTCATTTAACAATAAATGTGTACTGTATTCTTCTTCATGGAAGAATAAGACATCCCCTGAAAATAAGACCTAGCGCATCTTTGGGAGCAAAAATTATTATAAGACACTGTCTTATTTTCGGGGAAACAGGGTACTTCTATCCTGGTTTTACTTACAAAGAAACAGGCTCATAAAGGTGAGGTCACAGAGCCTGTAAGCCAAGACAGGAATCAGATTCTTGTGCCTCCAGAAGGAATGCTCTTAACCACCAGCTCCCTGCGTCTCCCCAAGACGCCATCATCTGAGAACACAGCTCCAGTTTCACGGTTCCCATCACCTTCCCGTGAACTTCACAGGCAGGTAAGTAACCTACTGTCTTACATTAAGTGTAACAACTCACACCAGGAAGTGGATTCCCAGGAGTGGCTTTAACTAGTGTCAACCTGCGTTCCTGTCACCTCGATTCTAAGCCACTGCCTCTGGCCATCAACATGATATCTCATTGTTCCACAGAGCGGGCCCTTGCCCATGGACACAATGGACAAGCAGCCCTTTTCTCTGCTGCTTCTCCCCTCGATCCTCTCAGTCTCTTGTTCTGATCTATGACCAGGTCACTAAAAATGCATTATCACTTTTTCTCCCATTGCACTTCCACCTGGCGAAGTCACTACAAAATCCTGACAAATGTGTATAGTTTAACCACCTCTCTCTGCTAGACAATAAATAAATATGAACAAATAAAGGTGGGTAGGGCGAGGCTAACTCGTTCCACTGAGCAGGCAATGCAGTGATTTGGGACCTGGGCTCTGGCAGGTGACGCTCAGCCTGTCACTTCACCAGCCGAGCAAGCTTAGGTGGGTAGAGGGCTTCTCCCTAGGTTTCTCAACCTATAAAATGGAGACACTGCTACCTACCTTCTAGAATACAAATGGATAGATAGATTGTAAAAGTCAAAGATTTTAAAACACTCCCATTGCATCAAAGCTTTCAGTAACTCTATCTTCTATGCCACACACACAAAAAAGCATCATAATTTCCATAGCTTTCCACCCAAAATGCAGTGTGACTCTAGAAATAAAACACAGCTGTGGGAGCAGGTGTGCCCTCCTGCAGGATGGCCCCCCCACAGCATCCCCCATTCCCCTCAGAATCCCCGGGATACTAACCTGGGAGAGAGGGCATTCTTTGGCTAGTGTGCTCTGGTTCATCTCTTTGAGCAGTTCCTTTAAGGCATTGCGGACGGTGGCATGGTTCCACTGCTCCGCGGGCAGGTCTTCCAACTTCGAGCAACTGGAAAACACAGCGAGAAGGAACAGGCAAACCTTAACGAAGGGCCTGGCTGCAGAGATATGGTCCCCTCCGGCCCCAGGCAGCACTAGGAAAACTGCTAAGGCCCTGGCCAGTGTGGCTCAGTGGTTGAGCGTCGACGAATGACTTAGAACTATTTCTATCCTGGTTTTACTTAACAAAGAAACAGGCTCATAAAGGTGAGATCACAGAGGCTGTAAGCCAAGACATGAATCCAAATCCATCTGCTCCAGAAGGCATGCTCTTAACGCCCAGGTTCATGGTTTGATCCCTGGTCAGGGCACATGCCCAGGGTGCAGGCTGGATCCTCAGTAGGCGTGCAAATCAATGATTCTCTCTCATCGTCGATGTCTCTATGTCTCTCTCCCTCTCCCTTCCTCTTTAAAATAAAGAGGAAGGGAGAGGGAAATTTTTTAGAAATTAAAACTGCTAAAGAACGCAACTGGTTGTGGGCCCCACATAGGGAAGGGGAACAGAAAACTGCTTCTCTGGGGCCTGACAGGGACCAGCCATTGCACACATCAGCCTGGGAAAAAAAGTCCCTTCAGATATGAAAAACTGCTAATGTTTAAAATATCTCCACTAAAACCAGTTTGGCTCGGTGGATAGAGTGTCAGCCTGCGGACTGAAGGGTCCCAGGTTCAATTCCGGTCAAAGGCATGTACCTTGGTTGTGGGCACATCCCCAGTGAGGGGTATGCAGGAGGCAGCTGTTCGATGTTTCTCTCTCATCGATGTTTCTAGCTCTCTATCCCTCTCCTTTCCTCTCTGTGAAAAATCAATAAAATATATTTCTTTAAAAAAAAGTAAGATTTCCCTAATCTTCTGAAGGAAGTAGTGAGGCAGCCAATCAATGATTCTCTCTCATCAGTGATGGTTCTATCTCTCTCTCCCTCTCCCTTCCTCTCTGAAAATGTATTTGGACCATTTGACTTTTCGATGGAATGACTGGGCCTTCCGAAGGCTAAACGTCCAGCAACGCTCATCAGACTTGAAGTTTAAAGGCTGAACCTTCACTCCCACACCACAATGCGGAGGTGTGGCTTTCCTCGCCCTAACAGGGCACCTGAGGGAAGACACCAAAGCATCCGTGCGCCTGTCAGAGCACAAATTCCCCAAAAGCCTTCACACTACAGGACGCTGCTGAAATCACGTGACTCGCAGGCATGGCCATGAGCAGGCTCTGCAGAGCGCCTCTGGGGCCTTCGACAGAGGCACCACTGGTTCTGGATGCTGCATGGAGAGGTGAGGGGGTGCGGTGCAGAGAGACAGAAGCCATTCCCTGAATCTCTGTGGCTCAGAGAGAAGAGGGGAAGAGGCGCCCAGTGCCGGTGTCTTTTGAACAAGTCTCTCCCACCGGCAGAAGCTCATCCCTCAGCACGCACACTGAGACCTCGGGGTGTTTCATCTCCAACCCCACGCGCTGAGCGTTCACCGGGAGGGCGCAGCAGTGCAGGGCGGTGGGAAGCGCCCCTGATGGGCCGCAGATCTGTAATGATTTGTCAGCTTCCCTTCCCCCGGTTGCCACTCCACTGCTTCTGAAAACAAACCCTCACCCGGCTGGAATGTGGACCATAAAGATGCCTGGGGAAGCCTCTCCTTGTCTGCTCTCTCCCTGCCCCCCACCCCCACCCCACTAGCGCAGAGGGACTCGCTGGGCCCGGTGACTCCCTGACGGCCGGGACACAGGGCAGACGTGCAGACCCACCTCTGCAGCTGGATCTTCAGCGTCACGACGTGATAGACATCCTGCAGCATGTCGGCCACCGTGGCGTCGGGGGCGTCGGTCACGTAGCTGAGGGGCAGCGGGTTCCACCTCCCCAGCTTGATTATTCCTGCGCAGGGAAGAAAAACACCATAAACACCTATCTGCCATTTATTAAACCCGCCGCTGTTTGCTCACGGTTAAGGAGGTCACTCCCCAGTCAACAGGCAGGGCCCCGCCGGGAGAAATTTTATAACCCAGGGCCATAATCCGTTTCGTGCTGGCCCGCAGGGGAGGAAGCTGACTCTCCGGGGAGGAGGAGAAAGGGATGCGGTTCAATCACGGACAATCGGCTTATTTCATGTTTTCCGGTTTCTTAAATTACTTAGGAAACCATAAGGACACTTCCTTCCCCCAAAGTCTCGGTTCACACTCTAACTTAAGACGGAGGCTAAATATACCAGACTGCTGATTTCATAGACCAGAAAGGGAAGGAAAAAAGCAAGCAAGCCTTAAGTAAATAGGAGATCTGGTTTGGAGTTGGACAGGCGAATGCCTGCGTGTTGGCTCGGCACAGACACCGTCACATCCTGGCCATGTGAGCCCCGGGTGAGGGGTGCTCAGAGCTGACGGAGCAGTTCGAGGTCATGTCCAGACGGCACTGCACCCGGCAGAGGGGCTGTTCGCCAACAGCACAGGGACTGATCACAGATCGAAAACAGCAGACATGCCTTCAACTTCCTTCTTTTCTAATTCCTCAATTCTTTTTATTTATTTTTTATTATTTTAAAAAGAATTTTTATTGGTTTCAGAGAGGAAGGGAGAAGGAGAGAGAGAAACATCACTGATGAGAGAGAATCACTGATCAGCTGTCTCCTGCACACCCCCTACTGGGGATCAAGCCTGCAACCCAGACATGTGCCCTGACCGGAAATGGAACTGTGACCTCCTGGTTTGTAATGGACACTCAACCACTGAGCCACACATTACATTAAAGAGAAACTCATTTCACAAACACAGAGCAAAGAAAAATTTATTTGTGTGCTTTGAAAAATCAAATGGTCCCAGGCCATTAGAAATCCTCTCTCTCTCTCTCTCTCTCTCTCTCTCTCTCTCTCTCTCTCTCTCTCTCTCTCTCTCTCTCCCTCCCTCTCTCTCTCTCGGCATGTATTAGTGATAGAAGTAACACAGCAATACAGGTAAGTCCAACTACACTGTTCTTCCAAAAAATACTTATTTTTTATCATCAGAGAGAGAGGACACCTACATACTCAGGTGAATGTTCAAACGCTTCACAAAATGACGCTTTGTCACCATGGGGTAAAACCCCAATCATAGGACATGAACTGCCTGGTCAGGCCACGTCCTGTCCAAGAGGAAGTAAACGAGTGCGCAATGCTTGACATCATGCTTGAAAACAGGGGGTAAACAGAACAAAAATATTAAAATGATGCACTGTTTCAGTATTAAGATTGAACAATCTGGTGCTGAATATGCTGCAGTATAAATAGTGCCTGGACTTGGTTCCAATAAAGGAACACAGCTCTCATTCATGGTACCGTATGTCTCCAGAGCTGGCTCCTCCAGTCATGTCCCACTTGCCAAGAAAAGCTGTTTTCTTGTGGGGATCGTTGTGCTGACATTCCCTCTCGTGACAATGAGAAGCGCGCAGCACGCAGGAGCCATGAAATGCACATCCCGGCCGCCGGACAGCCACCATGGGGGGCAGAGGCTGCCTCCTCGCTGCCTCTACTCCTTCTGACACGTGGGAATACTAGGAAGATGCCGTGTCACCTGTCCAACCTATTTCCTTTTAAAAGAGAATCACTCCACGATGTCAAATTCCTTTAAGAGTCATGATCATTGAGTACAAATTGGCCATGTTCTAAAGACATGATGTTTTAGCCGAAACCAGTTTGGCTCAGTGAATAGAGCGTCAGCCTGTGGACTCAAGGATTCCGGTCAAGGGCATGTGCCTAGGTTGCGGGCACATCCCCGGGGGGAAGTGTGCAAGAGGCAACTGATCAATGTTTCTCTCTCATCGATGTCTCTAACTCTCTATCCCTCTCTCTTCCTCTCTGTAAAAAATCAATAAAATACATTTTACAAAGAAAAAGAAAAAGAATAAAGACATGATATTTTATCGTCAGAGATGCAAGGGGGGTGAAAACGCAGCTGGCCACCAGGCACGATGAAAGGCAAGTAGCAGAAGCTGACTGTGTGGGTCATTTCGGTGACCACGGATGCACAGATAATACAAGGCGAATGAATCTTGCAGAGTTCAATGTACACCCCCAGAAGAGATGCATCTATGCTGTTGGATGTGTCCTTGTCCACTCCTTTCTACTGGGTAGGATTCCACTGTCAGAGTAAACCACGCCCAGCCGGCTGGCTCAGTGGTTGAGCATTGACCATGAACCAGGAGGTCATGGTTCCATTCCCGGTCAGGGCACAGGCCCGGGGATGCGGACTAAATCCCCAGAGTGGGGCAAGCAGGAGACAGCCGATCCATGGTTCTCTCTCACCATAGATATTTATCTCTCTCTCTCTTTCTCCCTCTCTCACTTTCTCTCTCTCTCTCTCCCTCTCCCTTCCTCTATGAAATCAATAAAAATAGATATTTTAAAAAAAGAATAAACCACAATGCAGCCAGAAACAACATACTATTTCTGTATGATTTCATTCACATAAAATGCAAAACAGGCAAGACTAATCTAAGAAAGAGCTCAACCTCAGAAAGTGGTTGGCTGGATGGCAGGGGCAATTGACTGGGAAGGGACAGAAGAGAATTCTCTTGTTTGGGTTGGCGGTTGCCAGGGTATAAAAGTTGTCAAATTTCGTAAAGTCCAACAATATGCATATATTTCTTTTTATGTAAATTATACATTTAAAAAAAAAAAGGTGAAGGAGGAGGGAATGATAGACAAATCACTCTGCTGAAAATAGTAGCCTCGTGTAGGTAAATTCTCTCCCCGCATTGGGAGCCAGAAGGAGACTTGTTTGGGCTGGAATTAGACACACACAGGTGTCCCCACCACACGCAGTGCCTCTGCCGCCAGCAGCTGCCTCAGGTTGGTCTGCCTCAGACGGGAGCTGCTGACGGAAGAGCTATTTTCGGGCGACGGGCAGTGGCATGTACACCCTACTCACTACCTCCCCAGGCCTGGGAGCCTGTCCTGTGCTCAACTGTGTGCCCAGCTCTGCAGGGGGGAGGCCTGCTAGGACAGTGGGTCCATAAGGTTGTTCCCCCCGCCGGTGCAAGCCACTCGGACCCACGCAACCCTCTGGAATACATTCCCTAGATACATTCTTCCTTCTCTGATATAAAACAGGCAAAAATGTTTTTTGGACGAGGAGACGAGTATTAATCGAGGAAATCAAATTGGGATTTTATATAAGCCCAGTCCCCCTCTGTGATTTACAATAATGAGGCCTTTTACAGGCACAGGATCAGATTAAAAAGGGGAGAGGGAATGAAGACGTATAAATATCCTTGAGTCAATGTTTTTCTTAAATACATGGACTCTCTTCTTTTTAAGAAGCAGGAAAACTTCTTAACGGATGCATCTCTTCCAGGGTTGTCCACTGAAATCTGCAGGACAAGTTCAATCATCAAATTGGGAAGCAGGATAGCACTGTGGTCAGCAAACTGCGGCTTGAGAGCCACATGCGGCTCTTTGGCCCCTTGAGTGTGGCTCTTCCACAAAATACCAAAGCCTGGGTGAGTCTATTTTGAAGAAGTGGCATTAGAAAAAGTTTAAGTTTAAAAAATGTGGCTCTCAAAAGAAATTTCAATCGTTGTCCTGTTGCTATTTGGCTCTGTGGGCTAATGAGTTTGCCGACCACTGGCGATAGCACAATGACTAGGAACACAAGCTGCCAAGTCAAATTGCCTCCGTTCACATCTGGGCTCCCCCACCTACTAACTATGCAGACTCAGCAAGTTACCTCCACGCCTCAACTTTCTCACCTGTAAAATGGAACAATAAAAGTACTGACCTCTAATGCAGAATAAACGGAAAGCCTTTAGCACAGAGCCTGGATGTGATTCATCTCCACAATTGTGTACACTCATTATTGAGACAGTTTTAATGCTTCTTAAAAAGAAGATAGAGTCCATTTATTTTAAAAACTATTGACTCAAGGGTAGTTTTACGTCTTCCTCACCTTTCCCTCTTCAATCTGGCCATGTGCCTGTAAAAGGCCTCATTATTAAATCACAGAGGCGGACTGGACATCCATCATATCCCTCCTCCCACCCTCTTCATCGCCTCCACCCTTACTCCTTAAGGTCCTCTTCCCTTTCACCCGAGTAGATTCAGATCTCCCCCCATCTAGCAATAGGACTTCCACACTCACTTCCCCCTCAGGGCTGCTCCCCCAAAAGTACTGAGTACACCTCCAACTTATCCATCAGACCTTCGCCCCAAGAAATCTAGTTTCAACCCTTTCATGGGGAAATTGGCGATCTGAAGGAACAAAGCCCAGATTCCCTTAGATTACCACAAGCTTGCTCTCCTCAGTCTCTTCTACATCACAGCAGCTCACGTGTGAGGCACATCAGGAGAGAAGATGGGGAGAGAGGTGGCTCTAGGTCTGCCAGGCCTTGAATGCCCGGCTCAGCAGAATGCTGCATGGGTCAGAGGTCAGGAACAGGGCCTGGAGTCAGAGGTGTGTGCAGGTCCCACTTGGTATGCTCTGAACAGGCTGTTCATCTCAGTGAGTCTCAGTTCCCTCATCTGTAAAATGGGACCATAACATCTACCCCTCAAGGCTGCCAGGAGGCTTTACATGAGCATTAGGATTTAGGACTGGGGCTGGCACACACCAAGTGCTCAGTCAACGTCAGGGGAAATGGATCCCTGAAAGTCTGGGGTTGGGGTGTAATTTAGGAAAAGGAACCTAGCCTGGGGTACAGATGGACTGAAAGAGGGACGCACTCTGAGGGAAGAGAGAAGGCGCTGCAGTAATACAGACAGGTGTGCTAATGACAGCCTCTCTCTGGCTCTCTCCCAGGAGGAAGACCACGCCCAGCAAATGCTACCCCATTGGCGGAGGAGGGAGAAGAACGGGTCCCCTGGAGATACTGGCTCACGGCCTTGGAAAAATCCCAATAAAAATGGCGTCACT